CAGCTAAGAATACAAGGTCATGTCACAAGTTTACTTGCTTGTTAAGTTTTACTCATTTGCAGCTTTGCATAAATTGGAACATCTCTACGACAAGTTGTCTGGAACTATGACCACAGTGTCAACGTCGACGAGCCGTTAGACTAACTTTGATCCCTTGATGGATTATTTTGAAAACCAAAATCCGATCAGGAAAAAACAGAAATGGGATTTCTCTGATCCTATTCGGCATTACTGTAACTCAAATAAATTTCACCATGAACATTGACTGTGCCTAAATCAGACAGGATAGGGCAGACCGCCAAATGCGAAATTGTGAAGTGAAAGATTAAATATTTAAATAAATATATTCTCCATTTTGACGCTTTGAAACTTCAAATCATTAGCGACAGTTATTCCAAATTCCATCCCGTCAGTCCATTGTTTGCTTTTTTTTAATCTCTATCTTGAATTTTATCGCGGCCAGGAACGGTTCCAGGCACGGCACGCTTTATCAGGGCCAAGTGTAAACGCAGCTTATGTATCATAGGTGACACCTGAATTCTAGGAGTACTATAGGAGTTTAGTTCGGGCGAACTTGCGACTGACAGAATCTGAGAACCAGGCCTACTGGAATTTCTTGTAACTGATGATATCTAAGAATTTGATCATTCGGTAGATACAGTGAACCTAAGCAAGTCGACGACTGAAAATTTGCAGTTACAATCAGCTGATCATGTTCTACGTTATTTTTCTAAAAATGGATTTTTTGTCGTAGAACTAGGCTATAATTTATTTGATGGTAGTTGCATGTTGTCGTTAAATTTCTCGACTGCATGATTGTTTCGCTGTTTGCGACATATCCTAGATACTGCGAATCACCTGTCGACCCAGAGTCAAACAGAACACATCCTGCTTAACTTGTTATAAATTTAAAAGCCGAGTTTTCTAAGAATTTTTCCTAATCTTGAAATTTTACAATTAGTTCTACCACCGAGGTCAAATTGTTCAAAGGAGAATCCACTTGTAGGTTGAAATGAGGAGTCAGTCGTTTCATGTGAAGAAACAAGAAACCTGCCAAATTCCGAGACCGACTCGACAAAGTAAACTCTAAGTCCATTATCCACTCTGAAGTATTAAAGTGCTTGGAGAAAAGAGTAAGCGCTTCGTGTCTAAAAATACTATATTTTTTAAGTCAATATGTCGTTCCTCTGTGGTAATCACACCATACAAATCGGACTAAACTTTCGCGAGACTGCATGGTTAGTTATCAGTTGAAAAATCAAACCTAATTTTGTGCGCAACTAGGCGTGGTTCCTGAGGTAAGATTTGAGGAGCGGATTCATCAATGGCTTACAATAATGCCACACGTTTTGCTATATTATGCGTAATAAAGACCCCTCTGAGCCGCAATGTTTCATTAAATATATGCATTTATTTAAACGTTCTGATAACGAAGAAATTGACAATAGCTCCTATAAATCGTAATCTCGAAATAAGAACTATCCGAATGAAACATGTATTAGAACATCTAAAGTATAGATGTGGATAATATAAACTGGACATATTTTAATGTTTTCTCCAAAACTGAGGCGTTTGGGACCACAAAGTGCATCCGAACTGATGATGATTGACTCATCCACTCTCTAATGATATATAAAATAATATATTAAGACAAACCTTAATTGAATTGACAAATACTATCTACAAAATAAAAACATAATTCCCGTTACACCATCAAATGAATTTGTTTAATCCTATGCGTTTCTGGTCTCCGTCTGACGGGACTACTTTTCTCCTTAGCTTTATTGTATCTTTGATCAACAGAAATATATATATATTCTCTAAGAAATTATATTTACGTATGGTTTTTTCGAGGTGTATGAATACATAAAAGAGGGTTTTCATTATCTTTTTGTTTATTATTTATGATGTAGTTAATATGCATAAATGTCGGCACATGCTATTTCATACTTTACTGAGCATTTATAGCCGAAATATCTTGTAATTTACATGACAAAGTGACGAATGATTTGTCTTCAAAATACTGCGTTTGAAATATAAATTGGGATGTCATGCTTTGTCATTGATCTATCTTCTTTTTGATATACATTCAGAGGCATGGTGCGTTCAATCTTGGGAATGCCACGAAGTTGGTCAACTAGGCATCTGAACCTATACGTGTAGTCCACAAAGATATATCTGGAAATTGTAATTGAATTGTGGTTATTCATGAAGTATCAATAAACGATTTTTATTTGTTATACTTCAGTGTATATGTATGATTTCGCAATGGAGGTAGGTAGGTAGTTGATGACAAGTTAACGTTCGCTTCCAGCGGATGCTGATATCGCAAACTAGGTAGTTATGTTGGTAGTTGGTTCAAATTGGATGATTCTGTGTTATTGGTTTGTTGTTGATTCTTCGTTAGATCTGGTCGGATCGAATGACATAGCGGTGAAACTCGGTCCTGGATGGTCTGGCGTGAGTTACTTGATCTCCTTCATTCTTCCAAATTCGTTCTGTTCTGATCATGGTATTTCTTGTTGATTGGTAGTCGAATGGTAGTCGTTGGTTTGGTTTGGTTAAATTATCTTATAACTGTTGGAAAACTAGACGACCTGAAAAAAAAAAGAAAAAGAAAGAATCTGAGAAGAGAGGGGGAAAGGAAAAACATAGGGGGAAAAGCTCTCATCAAAAAGGGGAAAAAGATGTTCTCTCGTGTTTCTGAAGTGAAACTTGTTAAATTGGTGGGATATAATTAAAAAGTGTTAAGAAACTTTGAGAATAAAAACTAAGCCTATCTGTTCAAGACATATTTGGTTATAAAATGGAAGACGAGTTCCATTATCGTATACCAGTGGTCCGTGGGTGGAGCCAAAACATTCTGTATGGTGAGTGCTATGCCGTTGGTTTCCAGGTACTCTGTCAGTGGCTTACGAGCGGGTTTCAGTTCAGTGCATTGAATGAGAGCATGCGACATTTAATGGAGTTGAACTGATGGTCTCGTAGTACGTTGTTGGTCCGGTGTTATCACTTTGCAGGTGGCTACAGATGGATGGTTTGGTTTGGTTTGGTATCTTCCGATCAATCCGGTATCTAGCGGTGTCAAGGTTCCGTAGCATGTCGTAGCAAGATACGAAATAGAAGTATTCTACAGGCTCGATATCCTCCAGGCTGAGACTTTCCTTGGTACAACGGTATACTTGATCATTGCCAGGGATTGAGAGATGAAATGCCAGTCAAGGTAACATACAGTCACGACAGGGAATAATACTCAAAACACCGTTGGGCTGTTTCTTCCGTGTGCACTGAATTTTAGTGAGATTTCTGCCTCGAGAGGCTGCGAAGAAATTGAGGCCAGAAATCCACCGTGTGTGGGTGTCTTAACCGCCATCTCGGTTAAAAAAAGTACCTAACCAAAAGTGTTGACGGATCGCGTGGTATCATTATGGTAGCCGTGAATGATGTAATTTTAGAAATAAAGCTTGCTGAACATGGCAACACTACCCGTGTCTGTACGCTGCTTATAGTGTAGAATTCCAAAACAAGGAAATGAGACCATTTTGATCAGTTACCTGACACGGAGAGCTCTCGTCTGCGGTGAAAAAAGGAGTCCAAATGTTGCTCAGCTGACAGGCTTAACCAATCGATATTAGGATAATAATCGAATACTTATTAACAATACCTTAATCCCGTGCCGATGCATTCAGTTGAATAGCAACACGTTACTTTCAATCACCCTAATCTATTCTATGTAATACCCCCATTTAACCAAGGATTGTTTTGGTCGATCGGCCTCATTTTTGCAAAAGAGTCGGGAACCTGCATTATCGAGCACTGTCCTATACATTCGGGGGAAGATCTGGAGCGACGGACTCAGCCCCCCTAGTAAAGGATACAGAAAAGTATCCCGACTAGATTGTCCCCAATAAATTTTTTGATCGGCCCATTGTCGTTCTGAGTAGCCTCTTATCGTCTCGAATGGACTCTTTTTTACCCGAGTGAATACCGACCAATGGACTATGGCATGAGTAGGAGTAATCACGGACGTTCCACGAACGATTGACTCGTTTCTGGTACGCGAAAGTACGCGCAAGTATCTGAAGGTACAACCCAAAGGACCGATGGAGGCTTACTTCCTGTAAGCGAATGACCGATCTTCTCGCCTTGTTCGGTTGAGAGAAGCCGAAAATTGCCGCTTAACTGCCAATATCTGCCACCGTTTTTTGCGTGAAAGTGGCCGAATGCAGGCGTATATTGACGCAGAGAGCCGCGGGATAGTTTGGCACACGTCTGCACATCGGTCGGCTACCTGTGGGGGTGATCGGGCACTAACTGGCACTTGGGTGCACCAACGTGCGAGGGTCGGGTCCATATACTCTGCAAATATACGCACGACCTTCGCTCGAGAGTGCTAAAGGTTAAACCGAAAGCTCAAGAGTGTGTGCGAGACATGGTGAACTTCGGGCGACTAAGACGACCAAGACGACCACAGGCCGGCGGTTTTGATCGGATACTCTTTTCCTATATGAAGGTTATTGACTTTTTTGTATCGACAAAAAATGGTCGGTACTGTCGGGGCCAAAAAATTTAGGAAAATGGCCTCATAAGAAAATTTGAACGACTACATTTGGCCACTCTTCGATTTGAGTCGATGCAAGACGACAACCACGCCGATCAAAAAAATACATCATCGTGGACAATCTAGTACAGATCGGGCCGATCATCGGAAAAAACAATCCATGGTGAAATGGGGGTATTACTGAAAGGTTAAATTACCTCAAGGGCAATGACCTAGACACCGTTTATCCACCTATAATTCGACTTCAGAAGTGTACCATTCTACGTTTTGTTACACCTCCAATCGATATCTGGCGAAAATTGTAGCTTCTACCTCAGTATTAATGTGATTGTATATAAACTTAAACTATGGCGACAGTGAATTCGGTTGGATTGTACATGCATTTTGTCTATACCTATCATTAAAAATGATAAACACGAACCTTGGTATGTATGCCCCACGGCGCTATGACTACCCTTCATAATATTATACAGGGGATGATCATAAATCTCAAACGGAACGAAAGAATTATGAATGTAACTCATAAAATGTTTCTTAAAATAGGACTGAGCTGTAAAATATGATGTAGGTAATAAAGATGGTAGCCAGAAGGTCAGAATAAAGGCCTGACTTAGGCAGCTTCAAACAATTATTCGCTAATATTTCAATCTCGGCTTATCGATATATCCCATAGGATTTTTAAACCCAGAATCCCCATCCTCACAATGTCAAGCTATTACGAACTGCGTCTAATACCTATCTGTTCTGGGACGCGCTGACAAAGGCACAATAGAAAAGATGCTGCAAAAATGGTAATACTTGCAACGGCGAGTTCATAGCGTCCATACACATACATGAAATTTGGTGAAATTTTCACCAAAGAGTGAACCCTATTAAAAGTAGAAAAAATAGAAAAATATTTCACATGAGGAGTTGCCCTATTTCTTGAAAACGCGTTCAACTTTTAGCTCCTTAAATGTATAAGTCTTGTCATATTTTGACAAAACGTGTTAATATTGATCTTATCTCCCCAAAAAAGTGCGAAAGAACTAGGGTTGAAAATTTTTGAGTGATTTTTACTGTACTGCAAAATATGTTTATTCAAGATCAAAGCTGCCAGGTGGGTGAGTATTACCTTGCCTGGCAAACTATCCTTTATTGAAAAGTGGCAACAAGTGTCCAGAAGAGCGAGTATACTCTGCCTGAAACCACACCATCCATTGCTGCGTTATACCACGCACAAAATTGGGATCCAAAAACAAAACCTAGTGTATGTAAAATGATAGAATCCTTTGGCGGCAACTCCACATGCTAATTTGATGACAACATTATACGCTTCACATGTGTAATACTATGTTTACATTTCGTACTTACATCACGCTTGTCACATAATTTTACACTAATCAGGGGGGGGGGGGGGAAATCTTTGTGAATTGTTACGAATTACAGTGGTGCTCTCTATAGAGTTATTGCTATCTTTATTGCTGCCGATGACGCCCTTTGCAAGTCTGGAGACAGGCTTTTCTGAAGTTTGGGGGACCTCCCCTTGAAAATTT